TTGACATTTTAGACGCAAAGAAGAGGTGAAGTAGAAGGAAAGCTGCCATCTACTGGTATAATGCTATGTATTTGTGTAGTTGTAATTGTATTGCGGTTCTTGTATTTGTGTTGCGGCTCTTGTAATTGTGTTGCGGCTCTTGTAATTGTGTTGCGGCTCTTGTATTTGTGTTGCGGCTCTTGTATTTGTGTTGCGGCTCTTGTATTTGTGTTGCGGCTCTTGTAATTGTGTTGCGGCTCTTGTAATTGTGTTGCGGCTCTTGTATTTGTGTTGCGGCTTTTGTAATTGTGTTGCGGGTTTTGTATTAGTGGTGACACCTCTGGGCCACCGTACCTCAGGCCCGCTCCCTCTTGGGGGTTTTCCCCTCCTGTTGGTGGCGGCTGGAAGTAGATGTTAGCGTTTTTCAGGTCTGTGCTACAAACTGCAGGCAGCAGGATAATAAAAGCCAACATATTCTGCCGGCAGGTTTCTACATTTGAAGTTAATTTAGGCGTTAAACTGTTTCAGAGGAGTGATCATAGCGCTCTGCATCAGCAGTGCTGCGTCTGACTCCCTGCCAGCTCCCAGATCAGCTTCTCTCATTGGTTGATGAGGCGCGTCCAGCAGCTAAAATTATATTTTTCTAAATCCAGCAGCTGCTGCTTGTGAAGGGCATCGCGTGGCTCAGACGCTCAGAAGCTCATGAGGCGCTGCAGGACCTTATGATGCGCGTCAACTATAGAGTTTGCATAAAGCAGCTTCTTCTGCTGCCCAACACTGGAAAAAAATCATAATTTTTTCTTAAAATAAGTGCATTTGTTCCTGGATTGAGGAGATAAAAGAGACACTTTGCCAATGGAAAAAGACAATTTACATTTAAAATATGAAAACACAATTGCATCGTCTTACTTCAAGTGCATATTATCTAATTATCTTATTTTAAGAGTAAAAAAACTCATTCCATTGGCAAACTACCTCATTTACGTACTCGAATTAGGGGTAAATATTCTTAATTTAAGAATTTTTATCCTATTTCTAGATTGCTTTTCCAGTGAAAGCGCGTTCGATGTGAACCTAGCATCAGCGCTATGATCTCCATGAGACAAACATGGAGGAATAAAAGGAAGAAGAGGAAAGTTCTGGCAGTTCTGGATGAAGACGGGACGATGCAGAAGAAAAGGAAATAAAAACATTTCTGTCTGGGTTCCTCATGCTGGATGTTCTGATGGTTCTGGTTCATTTTATTTCTGTCCAAATAGAACCGCTGATTTAAAAAAGGACTTTAGCTTCTAAATTATAGTTAATTTTTGCAGCTTTTAGGAGAAACAGCCTTTATTTTCTGATCTCTGTTTGTTTCTCTTTAGATAAAACGTTTCTCTGCATCCCTGGAAGAAACAGAAGCTGAATTATAATCCATCAGCTCAGGGATTATATGAGCAGGTGACTAGTTTCAGCTTCTCTGCTGATCTGATCTGAACCTGTTCAGACATTAAACAGATGAACCCTCCATCGTCTCCACGCGTTTCTCAGACCAGAAAGGTGCTTCTGCTGCACAGATGGAGGTGATCTGCTGCTTCATGGAGCAGCTGTGCAGTCTCTGATTGTACTCGATAAAAACAAACACGTCTCATTTTCCTGGCAAACACAGCCGGCTGGGTTTGGCTGCAGGGGAAGTGGAAAGTCTCTGCCCAGGAGAGGTGCACTGACCCTGGGCAGGAGATAAGCTCGGCCCCATCGGTCCCTCTGGAGGAACCGGGTTCATCAATAAAGGGTCGGTCCTCTGCTCCTCCTCACCTTATTACAGCAAAGACCAGCAGACATCTTGGATGCTCTCTTTCATTCCTTCCACTGCTCTCCTCTTTATTTAACACTTCCTGTCTCTATCATCATCCTTCTTCCTCAGCTTTTCTTTCTCCTTCCCGTCACATTTTAAGCCGACAACCTCCAAGCCTTCAGTTTGCTTTTACCTCCTCCTCTCAAAGCACCATTAGCAGAAGGCAGTAACCGCTTTCTGTTACTGGGTTCTTTAATGGTTGTCTGGAAATGAGCTCAGGACTGATGATCAGAGGAAGGTAGAACTCAGGTAAACTGGGAAACATTTAGAGAAGGATTAACACGCAGAATGTTACTAAAATGGTTGCTATGGTTTCTGTGCCTTTCTGTTTATTAACCAACAATCCCTGCAGGGTAGACCAGCCTGTGGTCTACAGACTACCTGCGAAAAAACTAAAAACCAAGACAGACGAAGCTTTGAGAAGTCATTTTTAAAGAGCTAAACGTGGTTTACGGTTGACAGTCATCTCACAGTTGGTGTTTCTAATCTATTGATGCTGGATTACTCAGTAAACCAAATAATCTGGCTTGGTTGGACTTTGAGTAAATCCAGATATGTGAATAGACGAGCATCTGACGGGTTTGAGCGGCTGGACCGGGGTTATAAAAGTCAAAATAAGCTAACTGTGGTTGTTTATCCTTGGATTGGTTAGATTCTTTGC